GCTCCAGTCTATCGAAACATTCTTTCATATGGAGTCAGACTTCAATCTGATCTTAAATGAAACATTCACTCTTGTGGAGTAAAAAAATATTATCACTTTTCACTTCAAGAAATTTAGAAAACAAATTTTATTGCATTCTATGCGCTGTAGTCCTAACTGTAATGCCAATTTGCCGAACTTTCCGTTAAACAGTAGAGATGAACATGCAAAATGCAAAATGATATGCGTAATAACAAGGTGCGTCTTCTCTCTTTACCTGGAACGTAATGCCAGATCCGTTCAGTAATAACAATCCGCAGTAAATTGCGTAACGAAAGGCTTTGCTTTGGAAAGGCCACAGACCGCTTAAACTCAATAAAAGTCGCACAATATTGTAGTGCGATTCTCGAAAGAACTTATCGACGTTGTCCATTTCGCCTCTTTGCCTACCGCTGTCCTGCCGGTGAAATTTGCTGATGAAAAATTCCGTTTCAACGTTGATTGCCCTGCACGTCGCGAAGTACAGGCGCTATTATACTGTTACATTCACGTCAGTAAGTCGTTCGTGATCGATTACGACAGCCGGTATCTGTTGCAGCTGGGCTTTGTGTTTCCAATTAAAGGTTGAAAATTACATGTTGGAGACACGCATAATGATATGTACTGTGACATGTACTATGATATACTCCCTTTTTTCTCTCTTGAAAAATCATTTAAGTTGCAAATTACTGTGAAAGAAGGTTGTTACTGATAATTCCCTTCTTTCTATAGTCTATTTCTGGTTGCAACGCGGGGAAACGTAGTACCGTGATATCTTTTGAAAATGGTGCTTCACTTACCGCCGTACATAAAGATATTTAATGATCCTTGCAAGACCCAACCAAAATTGTAAAAATACCAATTACATTTTTCTCAATTTATGTGATCACAGGATATTTTGCAAAACGCATAACTAATTAATTAATTAAAACAGGAAACAGTTTTATACACAAGGCACTCATGATCGTTCATCTACGTTCCCTTAAATAACTTATACGCGTTTTACGAAAGTTTTACTTTCATTTTATTTTTTAGATATTATCCTTAAAA